AATACACTTTTCACAATATTTATCAGAGTATCTTGTTGTTTTACAATTATTGCATTCTCTTGGTTCACCCCATTTATAAGTTGCATTATCTAATTCGAAATCATAAACAAACCTTTTGCTACAATATTCCTTTTCATTTTCTAATAGTTCTTTGTTTTCTTTGACTAATTGTAAAAAATAACTTTTATAATTTTCACTGTCAGAATTAGAAGCAGTTGGAAAAGCAGAATGGGCAATACCACTCATTTCATTATGAATTTTAAGAACTAATGCCATTCTGTCTTCTGTTAATAAATTAGCGTATGGTGACATTTTATATTTATTTTTTTAAAAAAATATTGCAATAATAAAATTTTTGCAAATCTAAATTATTATTTAATTTCTATTTGGAATATGGTATAAATGAGTGGATAAAGTGGATAAAAACAAAAAAGTAAATCCCGACGGACTTTTGTGCAATTTCTTTCAATCAATCATTAACTTTTAAATGATGAGTCAGCTTCAAAAACAAAGTAACCAATCCCCCGGAATCAACTTAACGAAGAATTTATTTATTATAACCAACTCAAAGTCCTAGATAGATAGGCCAACCTCAATTGTTATTGAACTCCTGACCTTTCAATTACCGCTCTATAGATATCTATTTATTTTTTTAAAGAACGTACTAAAAATAAAAACACCGCCACCTTTTCCTTCATGGTAGAAAATTTTATTTATGTAAATTTCTCCTAAAGCTACAAGAAACTATTATACCAGACTTGTCAATTGTCAGAAAATGAAGGTGAATGAATATTTAAAATTCGTATTTGTAACAGTCCTTTTGTTTATTTAAGCAGAAAATTAGAACTGGAAGAGTTGATAAGAAACTAAAGTCATATTCATTTTAGAATTAAACAAGTAATAGTAACATATTCTCCCTGGTTTAACGAGTGTGTGGAATAAAAACTAGGAAAAAAAAGAACAACTATGCAAATCTGGTCGCAATTTGTAATCAGGCTTCACTCTGTGGTTTCTTGTCAGTATGTAGGGCGTCGCAAAATGAGCGTTGACAAAATCAGAGTGTGACGACAGCAATGTTAGTTTGACATGCTAAGAGACAAGTATTTACGAGTAGAATTCTAACACTGCCGTGATTATAACACCTTTGTTTAAGGTATACTGGGAGCAACTAAACGCAGCGACTAAACCAACAACGGTCAACCATTATGGATAGCATTAAAGAGAGTTCTGATTGATCAGATTGCCACGAATGGCTTCGATTGTTAGTTAATCGATTTGTTATATTAAGAGTAAATTAATTGGGTATAGTACAATGAGTACAATGATTATAATTATTGCAAATGATCTCTCAACTTATTTTATCAAGGAAACAGACATAAATTGTTTGAATTTGTAATCTTTAATATATTTGGGAAATAATAATCAATAACAGTAAGTGATGTGATGTGATGTAATTAATGACAATAGAAATCTATTTTTTTTTATTCAAAGTTGTTTGGTTTTTTAGATAAATCTTTTGTTTAATCATTCTAGTCATCAATTCGCAAAAAAAAAGGCTAATATAACGTAATGGAAACCTGTTGTTATGTGAAAGTCTTTTATTAAAAGGATTTTTTAAAGATCATAATGAAAAGCCTTGCCATTCATCAGGACGATGTTGTTGTTTATTTAATCTAAATCAATTGTAACAATAGCAGATTCTGACATGAATGAACAATGACGCTTAAATTTAGGTAAAAGCACACTTTGAACAATTAAGTTAAAACATTATTAACAATTTTTGGTTAAATATTATATATTTTATCTCCTGACTCTCTCATCTATTTTTTTTTTTTTTTTGACTATATTAGCATCATCCTTGAAAGAAAAAATGACGTTAGATGCCATCAAAATCACAAAGTTAGCGATAAATATATTTTTCTATTCCACTAAATGATGCTATCTCTTCAACCATATCCTGGTGAAACGTATTCTGACGAACCGTCTCCCAGTGAAACGTTTGCCACATGCGCCTTTCTATGATCTAGTCAAGGATAGCAATAGGTATTAATAATTAGATCATTCACAGTTATGATGTATGTGCCTGGATTGAGCCAAAAGGAGAACTTAAATATTTATCTATGTAATTTAAGAGTAGTAATGATTAAGTACAAAAATCTACAAAACGCAAGTTTTTTTACATTTGTTAGATTCTTAAAGTTCTAGGCTTTATTATTGTTAAATACATTAACAGTTGAAAGTTCAAAAATATTTCATATACCAAGCATAACAAAACATAAAAAAAAAAAATTGTAAAAATTATATCTAATAAAAATATAGCAGTGATAGTACTAACGACAAACTAATTATAATAAATTGATTTAAAATATTTGTTGCAATATTTCTCAATTGAAAAGAGGAAAAAAATCCAATATTTAAATTAGCTGGAACTTCTTTGTTCAAAATTCAAGGCTATATCTATATAATTATCAATTTGTTCTACTAAAGCTTCAACTTCTTGTTGAGTAGATTTGGTTGGGGCCAATGGTAAGTGTTGTGAAGCCACCTGTCTATCAAACAAGAATGATCCACTAGGAATATCTGATGCTTCCTTACTAAATGCTGCCCATAGGACTGTATCAATTCCTTGATCGACAGTTCTTAATTGATTTTTAAGATTCTTATAAAAGGTTTCCAATGATGTCCTGACACCAGGAGTATCAACCCATCCTGGATGCATTGACAAAAATTTTATTCCTGTGGTAGATTCTGGATATTGTTGTGACCAATAATTAGTTAGTTCTACTTGTTGTCTCTAAAGAAAAATTTATTATTATTAAAAATGATGATGAAGATGGTGGTAAATTGAAAGAACAAAATATTCAACTAATTAATAAATACCTTATTTTGTGCATATGCCATAGTTCCATCAAATTGTTTCATTTTTTTACATTCTAAATCGGTAACATCAAGTTTATTTGCAAGCATTCCACCTGAAGAAACTGTGACCTAATAATTAATTATTAAAGATTATTGCTGTTGTTGTTGTGTTATAATATATTTCCAAAGAAAAATAACGATAATAACTACTTACAACCCTTGACCCAGGACCAGATTTTTGTAATAAAGGAACTAAGTTTTTAGTTAAATAATAAGTTCCCAAAGTGTTTATTGAAAAATTTGTTTCAACTTCATATGGTGTGGTTGACCGTTCATTCACCATTACACCTGCATTGTTTATCTTTAAAATAAATAAAATAATGTTATTATTATTGTTCTGAAAATATGCATTATATATTTTTGTAGAGTTGATATTGGTCGAGATAATATATAAAAACAAAAAAAGATTATATAAATACAAAACTTTAATTACCAAAATATGACATTTTCCATCCCCATCACTTTCAAATTCCTTCACGAATTCTTTAACTCTTTTCAAATCGGAAATATCAACTTTATGCAATCTCAATCGATTCTTATCAAAAACAACTTTTGATTTTTGATTTGTCTCATCGTTAACGTTATCACCACTGCTACTAGAATCACCATTAATTTGACCTAATATGTCTTTTCTAGCTTCTTCGCCTGTCTTTTCATTTCTACACAACATATGAACTAATGCACCTCGTTTAAACAACTCGGCAGCAATATCTTTTCCTAGGCCACTGTTTGCACCTGTAACTATTACAACTTTATCACTTAAATCCAAGTCCAATGCATTTTTATTAAATTTTTTCGAATTTCTTTCATAACCACTTTTTGTATATTCACGATATGCAATTATCATCCATACTGTTTTTGTATATAATGATCCTAACATTGATTATTATATTAATTATTAATATTAATTAATGAATTATTATTAGAAAATTTAAAATGTTCAAGTGGGAAAAAACTTCTAATTTGTAAATATTAATATTTCTCTTAAAAGTAATATTAATTAATATAGCAGCAATGTTTCACCTTTCTGTCAATATTAACATTAATATTAATATTAATATTTACCCTAGTAATATGCACTATAACAAATTAATATAATTTTTTTTATTATTTAATATTAAAAAAGAATTCAAGAAACGATGTCTATAATAAACAAGAAAAATTATCCCAAATTGCCAATGATGATCATGATACTTTATTTTATAAGTTCCCATTAACTTTTACTAACAAAAGACATTTATTATTTAAAGAAATTCATTAGCGATTTCCAGTTTTCATACTCACCTCACAATATTTTAAGCATTTATCTAGATATTGAAGAAGTAATATACTAATCACAAATTGACCAAGTTGAATGCTATTAAATCCTTAAATTATTTATTTATTTATATGTTGGATTATTCGAATTATTATTAATTTTGTTATTATTATTATTATTATTGTTCATTTTATTCGAATTGCTAGTTTTATTTGAACTGCTGGTTTTATTCGAATAAACTTTCAATGTAATTCGAATACTCAAATTCATAACGAATAAAACGAATAATTCGAATAAACCTTATTCGAATAGAAGCCCTACCTCATCCTCATTATTATTGTCATCATTATTGATCGAAGGAACTATGACAATATCACCATATTCACTAGAAGTATGTGCTAGATCATCATCACCATCCTTACTTAAAATTGTTGTCATAAATAGAAGGATCTTTGTTGTTATTAATTGAAAAAATTCTAACAATATCATCTTTGTTAAAAGTGCTTATTGTATTATCATCATCATTTTTATTCAAAGTGTTTCTATCACGAATAGAAAGATTTATATTTTTATTGGTCAAGGGATCTGCAACAATCTCATTATAGAATCATTCTTTCCAAGTAAATAAAAATTCAAGTTTATAAATATTTAAACTAGAATGACAAATAATCACTACCACCATTTTTTTTTAATAGCTCTCAAAGTAATCATGCTCTAACCATACTTACTCATGTTTAGCTTTATTTATTAATTCTCTTTTGTTTTTTTGCTTTTTTATTTGTGATTGAGGACATTGTTAAGAATTATAAGTTGGATATATATTTTTAAAATTTGAAATCAATAAATTTAACATCATAATGAAGGTTTTTCTTCCTGATCCAGCTAACACATCTGTCACCAGGTTGGATGTCCAATGGTTGGGTAACTCCCATCTTGATCAAAACCATAGTCATTCACACCACCCCCACTGGATTGTTGGATATGTTACAAGGATAGAAATACTCACAGTATCTATCATGATGCTAAGGCCAAATCTTTGCCCCCTTGTATCATCATTGGGTTGTGTAATCACCTTTGAAAAAAAGAAAGGTTTTTTATCTTAGGTTTTACAAGTGAAGAAAATCTTGCAAATCAAAATAAACATTCGTCTTGTCAATATTAAATACTAGTTTAAGGCATCATTTCCAAATTCTGTTATTGTTAGTCCATGTCAGCAAAATCAATTGAACAAAACAAATCAAAAAGAGCATTTGTTTGAATTGGAATATATCTGCTTTTGAAACTGGTGATAGATACAAAGTCAAATAAACAGAAACCATAACCCATCCTTCTTGCTTGTTCTCTTGCTTGAGCATCTATCATGTTGTTTGTCTTTAATATTTTATATATAGTGGAAGAAGGTATTGTCACCAAAGCAAATTTAACATCTTGTTCAGCTAGTGATAAATCACAAAGGATTGTATTACATGGATGTAGTGCTTGCTCATTTCTACAATGGCTTCTGCCAAGGAGTAATTCATTTAATGATGGAAGTTGGCAAGTTAAATGACTTTGAGGTGATGATGCGCCTGAGGATTTTTGTGCAAATGATTGTGTTTTTCTTTGTGGAAGGAATGGTATAACTTTCATGATACCCAACAGCGCAAACGATTGAGGATGTTTGTTGTTACCATCACTTGCCAACTACTTGCATATTGACGAGCAGCTGGAGAGATTATATTAGAAAGATAGCTTAAACGTTAAATAGATATTTGATTAGATTGTGTGAATTTGAAATTTATAATAAAAAATTTTGCGCGTTTGGATAAAATGCAAATGTAACTATTATCATTACAAGACCCGTTTCCAGGTTTACGGCGAGCATATATAGTGTCACCTACATGATTGACAAGTGGTGATGATATGGTCTTTGGGAATTTTCTTGACTTGCTGAATGATGACAAATTGAAATAAAAAATTTCTTGCGCAACCATGATAGTAATCCTAACCTTGGAATGATATATACATTGTTTTAAACACGATATAGAATTAGTGCTTGTGGAAGCCGTGATGCTTCTTCTATAATTGATGTCGTTCTGTCAACTACATCTTCCATAACATTATGTAATTCAGGTTCTGCAAAAAAAGAATTAAATCCCATCTTCACAGTAGTGTCAACACAACGGATAGTAGCTTCCTTAATAATCAAGCTAACTTGGGGGGTTTAAACCCTTGGATGCTGGCCTTGAGTAACCTTCTTGTTTATATGTTTATAAGTAAAAGTAACATGTGTTAATGAGTATCATAAAAGTCGCAGACTGACCTCATTATGATTCCATGTATAAAATAAAGATTTATAATGTAACGTGTATATAAAATATTATAGTTATAATGAGTATAAATAAGTATAATAGATGATAGTAATGATATTGAGAATAGAATTTATTAAAAATTTAAATAAAATCCACTCACTTCATACGTGCAAAATCATTAACATGATCGTAATGGTAATATTACTATTCATATGTTTTGTGTGTGGCTAATACAATTAGTTCTTTGAATTATTTCTGTAATTTTCGTAAATTGTTTAAATTATTATTGTATGTACTTATTAAGAAAACTTCATTATTTTAATGTGATGTACTTGTTAATAAATCCTCATCATTTTATGCGAATAAATTATTTTCGTGATTGTTTAAATAAAAAAAATATTAATCTGATACTTGCGTGAATTTGAAATTAGCCAATCAGAATTTGTATCTCCGAAGATTCACATATCGGCAGATTGTTTTTAATTATATATATATATAGGAAAAAAAAAGAGCGTGATGTATATTAAAAATTTTTTTTTAGACGTGATGCCTTTTTTTAGAAGATTCTTTATCATGAATAAAAGTAAAAAGGCAGCGTTACCGCTAAAGATCTCCCTCACACTCATGAAAAACTCCCTTTGGAACATCAAGAAATATAACGTTTGATTGTTTAATGAATTTTATAAATATTCGGGACTCAATATCACAGTTATTCTCTTATTTCTTGGCGTCAAAGGCTAATATACCAAGCTACCCCAAGGATACAACGATGCAAATTTCCAGGGGGGGGGGCCCTTGGCTCTGGAACTTATTGAAATTGCATTTTGTTGTCAAGGAGATGTTAAAGTCTCTTACTTGTCTCAAAGTCTACTAACCAACTTGACCGGCTTCCACAACTGTAATGGTTATGTGGAGAGAAGACCGCTTGTTTGTGCAGGAATAGTTTATCAAATCTGACACTTATGGACAGGTTGGCATTGGGACATGACAATAATATTAAGTGTAGGATCAACAATGACATCACAAACCACAACATTTATTCAAGCAACTCCAACTCTGCTATCTCAATCACCAACACAAAATAACCCAACCAAACTCATCACCAACTCGCCTGATTCACCATCATCAAGAATGCCAAGTCACAATACACCTTAAACATATTGGATGTTGTCCAAATGCCAACCTTCCTCCTATGATCAATATCAGATTTGTTCATTTTCATTTTTCAAGGAACTCTATGGCTTGTGATTGTGTGCATTTGGGAAGGAAAATAATTATTTAATTATTTTTGTGACCCGAGTAAATTCACAATATCATGTGGCCTTTCCCAAATTGGTTCCTTAATTTTCATTTTTGCATGGTCTTGGTATTATCATTACTTGGATGATGCAATTTATTTAATATATCAAATAATAATCACTAATATTATAATGACATGCACAATTTATGGAGACAAATACACTCATTCACATTCAAGGAAATGATTAAAAAGATAAGTAATGTTTTGTTTATTGACTCACTAAAAGAGAAATGCATAATTATTTAATTAATTTTGTATATACAGTGTGTTAAAAAAAAATGGCAGTTTGTAAAATATTCTTTTGAATGAAAAGTAGCCAAAACTATAATAAAAATTATACCAGAGAATCGGAGGATCTTAGATTATAGCATATAAGATTTTTGAAGCATATTATTATGTAGACTTTAGAGCAATTATTAAAGAAATTTATGCATTGAATTGTTTTTTCACAATAATCAACTCCTTTTCTAATTAACGAAATTCTAGGAAATCTGGAAGTATGTAAGTTTATATACATAATCCAAAATAATTACATGAAATAAATTATATATCCTTGAATAAATTGATTTTTGAATATTTGTAAAAAATTTGATTTTCAGTTAGAACACTACTCTCCCTAGCAAGTTGTTATGAAAAATCACATGACTACTCTCTACCCTTAAAAAAAGAAAGCAGAATGAAGGTACTTCTCTTAGTAGCCGAAATTTGCTGAAACACTGAGCAAAAATTAATTAAATTATTTAAACTAGAGTGATAACAAATGGTGATATAACCACTATTCTTTTTAATAATAACACTTATCTGCTTTTTTTGAAATGCTCTTGTCCTTTTCTTCTTCCCTTCACCCACTTTGGCATTTTTTTCAATTTTATTTAATAATAAAACCAGTGTTAATAAATTCTGAATTGTTAACATCCAAATATTGACACCATTATTTATTTCAGGGTACTTTTAATGAACTAGATTATAAAGTTAATAATAATAAAATTAGATAATAATAATAATTATTAAACAACAGTCAGGATTGCATAACATCTAATACAATGATACCTTATCAATTTTAGCCTATTATATAATATGACATACCTGGATCAACTTCATAATTTTGTAAACTATTTATTTTAGAATGTAGCTTTTGTAATCATAATCTCAATTCTTACATTAACACTTAATAACTAAAAAAGCAAATGATCTTGATAAAATTATTTGCTTGTGTTAAATTTACAAAAAGGCAAATTTTTTCAACTGCATAACAAGTATGTTAATTCTGCATCTTTTTTTTTTAGAACATATATTAGCATATGGAAATTTTGTTTGTTATTTTTATAGGGATGAATGATTAATTAATTAGAGGAATTGTTGTTATAAATTATTAGGAAGATTATATTATTCTTATGTGGAGGTTTGAGATGATTATTTATATGGAAAATATTACAAGTTCTTTTCATAAGAAAATATCAATATTAAACCTGTGTAATTTACATTTGACAGAAATCACTTCATGCAATTAATTGTCAAGTTAATACTAATGTCAGCCAACTGTTCTTTGCCATCTAATTGATGTTTGCTGTCAATGATAGTAATAGTATCATTACAATACATGTATAATATATAATAATAAATTACATAAAAAAATCACAAAATAAAAATTAATTTAAAAACCCTAAATCTTGATATTTTTCTAATATTTTCTTTGATTCATCATCATCATCTTTATAATCAAATTCCATTGTTAAAGGTTTGGGTCCTCTCCAATTCTTCATTAGAATATCTAACAAATAGTCATTAATATTAGAAGCCAAACCAGTAGAAAATATTGATCCTAAATTTTTTGGTAGTGTTTGATTTAATACTGTTAATATTATATCACAATCAAGTATATAAAATTCTTCTTCACCAGAATAATTATCAAATGTAATACGTTTTAACTTTGTACAACTATTGAGTACTTCCATTAATTCCTGATCTAATACATCTGCATAAATTATTGATAAATTTTCTAAATTTTTACAAGATTGTGCAATTGATTGAAATAGCTTCCTCATAATTTCGTAATTATAACATTTACCATAAACATCCAGATTTTTAAGAGTTTTTCCATTGATATTAATAAAATCAGACAAGTCTGATAAGAATATTTGATATCCATCAATAAATACATCCACAGATTCAATATTTGGTAGTGAAATATTTTTCAAATTTTTTAGCTCATGTCCATAATTAACAGTTAATGTTAAAGCTTCTAAATTTTTAAATGTTGGTATTAATAAATCATCCAAATTGTTTCCTCCATTAGATTCATAAAGAGTTATTGATTGTGAGTGTGCTAATATTGCTTCTTTGAATTCATCTGGTAAAATTTGTCTAGATTCAATGACTAAATATTTAATTTTCCTTTGTGCTTTAATTAGTTGTGCCAATTTATATATATTATTATAATTACTATTATTATATACTCTTAATGATTGGATATTTTTACAAACTTTCATTAATTTATCAACAAATATGCTACTACTACTATTATTATTATCAAAACCGAAACAATTTAATTCATAAAGAGTATGAAAGATATTATTAAATCTATGATGATTAAATAACAAATTATAATCTAAACCTATATAATCCCAAGTAATAAGATTTTTGATACCTGCTGAATGATCTAAAATAAAATTTATTAATCTATCTTTTAAAATTTGTACACAATCTATTGATGTATCATTTTTTATCAGTTGTATCAGTTGGGATCTATAAGAAAATAATATAGTACTACTAAATCTGGCATAATTATGTAATGGTGGCTTCTTCAATAGTTCAAAAGTTAATTCAATGTAATTTCGAGCCAAGAAATCCTTATCTTCTTCCAATAAACAATTAATTAATATTTTTGTACTATCTTTGTAAAGAAGTGGATTTCTCCATAAAGTCTGAATATTAATATTGTGCCATTGTTTGTTGACAAGAATACAAGAATATAATGTGTTGTATTCAATGTAATTGAATATTTCAGATAGAAGTTCAAGTGGGAAATTAAACATTTTTTTTTTTAAGAAAACTAATTTTTTTTTTGTTACACAAATTGAGAATAAACATCAATTTTATAATAAAAAATTTTATGTTCAAAAAACTGGGAAAAAGCTAAATGTATTATGGAAGTTAATTGGATTATTCATTATGTTCTCTGGTTCCTATTAGAATTAAAAACAAATAATTGACACATTAACAAATTTTGAGTTTAATTGTCACAGATGGGATTCAATTATTTTTGGAAAGCATGCATGAAACATTTTAACAGCAAATATCTTGTAATTTCAGTTACGTAATAAACAGTCGACCTTGTTTGAATTTTATGATTTATTTATCATACAAATTTGAAATTATAGAAAAAAATGATACAAATTTAGAAGAAAAATTTTGAGAAAAATAAGAACTTGGAGCCAATTATAATAATAGTAATATAATAAATACATAATAATAATAATGTAGTAGACTTAGTCATTATTTATGAACAAAGCTTTCTTACTGTAGCTATTTCGGCCAGGGGGGTCATAACAAAAATTGCAGTTGCCAACCCACCTAGCCACGTCACCATGATATGGACAATACCAGAGGTTTTGTCGATAGCCACAGCCTAAATAATAAAAATAATAAGTTATATTAGGGATAATGTGCGAAGATAAAGGTTCAAAACTTCATGATTTACCTAGTTATTTACCACAGTAGTAACCAATACCTCTACCCCTAAAGCATCTGTAAGAAAAAACGTCAGAAATGAAGTGTGTCAACGAAATTAAGAAGAAAAGACTAATGTAATAATTCGAAACTTGAGTTTTTTACACACGTATTATTAATATTAAAGAAAAATTACTCATGTATCACGGTCAGTTTGTATTGCGCATGCAGAATTCTTCTAAAACATTCATGCATAAAGTATCAGCATCAAGTATCAGGTGTGTTTTTTAACATAGAAAAGATACAAAAATTACATGACGAAAGGAAAAAGTTGACGAAAAGAACTTTTTTATGTAATTTTAGAGTTTTTGAAACACTTTTTTTAAATTACCCGATAATTACAGATACTGACCTTCAGGTTTTTGAAGTATTGGGGACCCGTTAATCCGCAAATATATATATATATTTATGCATTATACAATATTATACAAAAAAAAATAAATACAAAATTCTATTTTACACTTTATTATCTGACTCAGACAAATACATAAATAATGTTCTGTTGATTTTTTGGTTGGCATTTTGTTAAACCAAGTTTCAAGGATTATTATTATTATTATTATTATTATTATTATTATCATTATCATTTGTGATGATTTTTTCAATTATTTCCAAGATTATTTATTAACTTCATTGTTTGTAGGACTGTTATTAACACTATTATGTTCTTGTTCTGAATAATCATCTCCGTTTCTGATAATAAATAACTTTCAGTTTCATTAACTTCACAATAATCATAAAAATAACCACCTTTTGTACTGAAGAAAGTGAAATGCTATCGCGTCTAACATTCCCTTGATTAATTTATTCAAGATACTCTTTCTTATTTCGATGTCACATCAAATACAGTAATTTGCAAGTCTTGACACTTCTCTACATTGAAGCATTTAGCAGAAAATGACTTTTAGAATTTCTAATGAGCTCTTTGGTAAAATGCACCCAAACCTTAGACGTTGCTAGTCTCTATAGTTGAGAGGATGTCGACACTTGAGTTACCATCCACAAAATCGAAGCTGACCATCATCTGACGTTTCAATGAAGAATCTTAAATAAACAATTTATTGTTCTTTTCTCCTTTTCGTCATATTTTCATGAATATTTTCACCACATATATCTACAACTCTTTCCCCTTGACCAAAATCAATTGATTTATAGCTCCGATTATAACCTTGATATTATATTGCAGAATATGCACCTGCAGCTGCAAAATATTTTTGTTGCCCAGATCCTTTACTTTAAATACAGCCTCCTTACACATTCTTGATGCATCATTTACATTGTCTATAGTTTTTTTCTAGCAAGTTTCCTTAGTAGGTTCCTAATTTTCACTTGTCCATGTTTTACTTATCAAATAATATGGTGAATCAATAGAAAGCAACAGAGATTCTGATGCTGGATTATTGTTATTATGATGAAATGGTTGCGATCCTTGATGACGAACATTTTATAACTATTCAGATTGTTGTAAAGAAGGATTAGGTTGTGAATGTTGAGATTGTAAATGTATTTGTTTTGACGTTGTTTCTCTTTAATTATTATAACTAATATTGTTATTAATGTTATAATCATTATAATTATTGACAAAGAAGCCTCTATTGTTATTATTATTGTGCGATAAGTTTGAAGTTTCTTCGTGTGCTTCTATTGACATTGTTTAATATATACTGTATATAAATAGATATAAAAAAATCCCACTTGTTAATATATACTGTATATATAAAAAATTTTGTTAGAATTTTTTATCCCACTTACGTAACATGCGTAACAATTATACTGATACTATATACAAGAAAACGAAATTTTTTTCAAAAAGTAATTTTTGAATTTTATTTACAGTACAACAAAATGATTCAATTCAACATTCAAATTCAAATTCGGTCGCGTTTACTTCGTCGAAAATTATTTCGTCGACAATCATTTCGTCGACACCCATTTCGTCGAAAGTTTGTTTCATCGAAAGTTCATTTCGTCGAATGTTCGTTTTGTCGAATGTTCATTTCGTCGAAAATTATTTCATCCTCGAGCCAGAGACCGAACGAGTTGGATGTGAGGAGTGTGGGAAGTTAGTTAAGCAATTAGGTGAGGAAAGCGGAGTGTGTGGGAAGTGTGAGGAGAAATTTGTTTGATGAAGTTTTTTTTTGTGACGAAATGAACTTTCGACGAAATGGGTGTCGACGAAATGACTGTCGACGAAATGATTGTCGACGAAATGAATCAGACCCATTTTTACTGAATTTTTGCCTATATAATTTACATATTTTAACATAATTCTTGTGATTATTAGATTATACAGTATGATGATGATTGTAGTGAGGTGATAAAAGTCATAAGCAAGTTTTTTGACATGAAATTATTTAATGGTTATGAATTATTAGTGTTAAAATTAGAATTGGAGAAGAAACAAAAGAAACTGTCACCAAATTAAAAGAGGCGAGATATTGGGATAACCTTTTTCTTTTGGATGATATTTTTGACCTTCCTTTATCTTATGAATGGTATATTGCAAAATTTTATGACAAAATAAAGATCAAGAAAAAATATAAGAATGAGATGTCTACTGAACTGTTAGGATTATGTAAAGTAACAAATTTTTTTTTATGTACAACATTTTCTTTCTTTAATTGTTATATGAACAAGTTCTAAAAAAAATATTGATTACAAGGGTCTAAATAATTAAATAAACATGTAACCTTATTTTTTTATATTTTATTAGAAATACAATTTGGAATGAAAAAAGTACAAGAAAGAGAAGTCGTCAATTACATAGGGTGCATTCTCACATGACTTCGTATGCCATTTGGTGGATTTTTTACGATATAATATAGAAGGAGTAGAACTTTATTGGATGTCAGTTGAAAGCACAGCCACCAAGAATAGAAATAAACAGCTTGGTCCTAGACGTTGTCCAGATAACTTTTGGGTATATGAAACTAAACTTGAGGACTTGAATTTCGAGATTATTTATATGGAGATATCCAATGGACCTTGGATGTTAGATGAAATTCATTCAATTGAGGAACATAGGAGATTAGGTCGTTATTGTAAAGACTCTTAGGACTATATTTATAATTACATTAACTATCAAAATCTTATTGACAGGGTCATTTTAAATACTTTAAATAAATTAAAATTTTACGGATTACACATTCATAGTAATGTTCCTAATTCCAATAAATTATATGCATACCATGATTATAAAAAACTGACAATTTTTACCACTAGGAACTAATATGGATGTATATGTGCTAGAAAGGGAGATACCACCTCTTTTTGTAATGAATTATATTCTACAAATAGAACTTCCAATTGTTCGCTGGTGAAAATTTTCTAAACTGTTTCAAAAAATTAAGGTTTTTAAATATTTTGATTGAATAAAGTTTGCGAAACTTTAAATTACTTGAGAGAGCACTCATAGAGAAAAATGGTAATGGAAATAGAAATAGTAATAACGGTGATGACAAAGAAAATGGAGAAGACATTGATAAAATAGAAAGATTAATCAAAACATTCAATATGCCTCTCAAAAAAAAGCCAATATTATATGGCTTTTATAATAACAATGCTCATAATTAGTACGGACTTGTTTTTTTTTTACATTTAAATCAAGTATTTTTTAAAATATTGATAATTTTTATTTACTACCATTAGATATTATTGTTACATTAAATGGAACTGTGATGGAAAATCCATCTATTTCTGAAACAATAGTCAAATTCGAAATTAATTCATCAGTTTATATCGAAAAGAAAAAAGTGGCCAATGCGTATCACAAAACAACAGAAAAACATCTTGAACCAATTTCAAAAAAATTAAATCGTGGTCACACTATTTTTCTATCTGGAAACCTAGAATTAGTGAACGGATTAAAAATGATACAAGTAACATCACTATCTTTTGTTAATTCAACCAACTCTAATACCATGTTAGATAACCAAGTTTCAACAACATCTCCTATCAAAATTAATCCTTCAGTTGCAAAAATTGCTCAACAAATTATAGGTAATAGTAGTTCAACCAATGAAACCAAGAAAAGAAAAGGAACAAATATTTTAAAACCAACAAGAAATATCAAAATTCCAAAATTAGCACAGTTAGCAGTATCACAAATAACATCATCAGAAATTGTTAATATTGAAGGAAGCAACAGTAATGACAATCAAAACACTGAACATGAAGAAATTTAAAATTCTTATTAAAAATTTAATCATTAGATTTTTTTTTTAATTGTCAATTATTCTTACTAAAAAAAATAAAACATGCATACTCTTCCAAATAAACAATGTAAT